AATCTGCAGAGGCTTCACTTCTAAAGGAGGCAGCAAATGAGGGAGAGATACGACTTCTCATATATATAGGAGAACACGTGGCGAATGATCCTGGCAATGGAACCAGGGATATTATGATCCATGATTGTTGGACGGGTAAAAACCCCAAGCGCCCAAAAGCCCGAACAACGAACTAAGTTCCAAACGGCTAAGATTAAGAAACCCGAACAACAATGGCCGCACGTCGGCATGAATTGCGCAAAACGGCTAATTCCTAATCCCTTTATAGAGCTCGAACGGGGAAATTGTTGCCACCAAAACGCTTAAGTCCTAATTCCTTTACAGAGCTTGAACGGGGAACATGCTGTCGGCAAAACGGCTAAGTCATAGTCCCTTTACAGAGATCGAACGGATCGATTGTTGCCAACAAAACAACTAAGTCCTAATCTTTTCAGAGGGATCGAACAGAGAAAATGTTCCTGGTAAAAGTCTCTAAAATGGCCCGAGCGACGAAATGATTGTCTGGGATTTAGATACCCAAATCCCTTAAAAACCTGAACGAAGGGTAAAAGTTAAAAATAAGGGAATAAGGAGTGGATGGTGCATTAGAGGAAAGTAACAAGAAATGAGCAAAAAGCTATTTTTACTCTTCGGCACTATTGGTCGGGAATATACAACGTGACGAGATATTTCATAGATACATGGGCAAAAAGTAAACAACTAAGCACTATTGCTCAATGTTCCTTCCTTCCTCATCCTCATCCTCATCCTCATTCTAGTACTCGAATTCTGCCAATGGCTCCGGGACCAGCCCAGCATCTCGGTCAGTTGCCCGTTTCCCTCTCGTACTTCTCAGATTGAGTCAAGAGGACACGGTTATCAGAATGCTCTGCCATCACGATCGACGTGTCGACAAAGTGTTGCATGATCGGGACCACCGCCCTCAAAATTCGCTGACACCCAGCAACATAGGTCTTCCGGGCCATAGAGTTCGACCATTTCTTCCCCACGGAGGTCCGATTGGTTGGCTCAATCCCCTTGTCACAACGTTCGGGACGAGGAAATTGTTCAAGGAACTTCTCGAACGATTCAGCTAGATGCTCCTAGGCATACTCATTGACGACCTTGGAGAATTCCTCGGAGGACCAGTATGCAACATGAACGGCTGACAGATCAACGCTCACTTCCCAGGGGCCGTCCGGGATATATCTGGGACTCAATTTCCTTGAAAGCGATATGATCGGCTTCAGCTGCTGCCAACTTAGCCTGGGCAGCGTAAAGATGCACCCGGAACTGACCCAACTCCAACTTCTCCTTCTGTCACTCCTGATCGACGGACTGGATAACACCAACACAAGTCTGCTCTGCCGTTGTGCGAGCATCCATCAATTGATGCTCCCTTTCCTTATGGGCGACACGCAGTTGCAGCCTATACAGACCGCCCTACATAAAGGATGATTAGAATACAAATCTTGGAAGAAACATATGATATTGAACGGAGGAAATAGATACCTTCAGAGCCGCAAGATAGACACCCTCCTCAGCAACCTCGACCGACATGGGGTGGGAGGACTAGATCATTAATCATGGCACCTGCGCTCCATATCTAGCTAACCGGGCACCCCGTGCTCCAGAACCTCGTGGATGGGATCAACGAGTGTGATCCGTTCAAGGCATTTAGAGAGAGAGGCCCGTACGACCTCGCTATCTTTGCCCATCGTCGCATGTAGCGGCTGGACAAAGAAGGGCATAGAGATCCCCGACTCGAACAGAGGATCCACCACCATCTCCCGAGCGGAAAGAGGATCCTGCTGCATGGCTGCAGCCATTTGAGACCCGCCCGATTCATGTGTCTGGACGGTAAGTTGAGCTGCGGATGAGGTCTGACAAGGGGCCTGATGCTTGCCTTTCCTTTTACTCTTGTTTCCGCCATCAATGAAAGCCAACCAGTTGTCATCCATAGTCGTTGCTTCGGGATTGGGAGCTGAAAAATCAAACAAAGGAATTAGTATCGATCGGTCAATCATGTGTGAAATATGGAAATGCAAGTAAGTTTCGCACACGAGAAGAACCGCCCAGGCCATGGTACTTGGGTTTTAGTCAAGAACTCTAGGAATTCAGCCGGTACCTATCCTGGCCTTGATCAGCCAGTTGGGGGTCAAGTATTCCAGAATCTGGGATGTTCCGCCCCGTTCCAGAGCGGCAATCTTCTCCCCAAGAGACGAACGGTTCCGCGATTTTGGGCGGATAAGCATTCCAACTCTTCGGGATAAGGCCGTCCGGTACAGAAACAAAAAAGAACCGATCTTTCCAGCCTTTGATCGAAGACAGGTTCCCTTTGAACAAAACCCTGCCCGTTACGACCAAATACCCATGGGTTTGCTGGGGGCAACTTTGAAAAAATAATGAAAAATGTCCAGATTGGGCATCACATCTGCATCGACACACCGACGGATGGACCCGACCGTCACTTGATAGGAGTTAGGCATCATTTGGGCTTTAACCACCTCATATCGATTTAGAAGCTCAATGGAAAATGGGTGTAACAGGAATCATAGTCCGGGCAGAAAAAAATCGTAGTGCACCACCACCATCCCTGGACGGTGCTGCAGCGGGTGGAGCCCGACATGAAGACTAAAATCGATCGGGTCTGGGATGAGATTCAGAATCCGGGCTCTAATTTTTTGGAGAGCTTTTGCCTCCTTTTCCTAATGGTTTTTAACTTCAATTTATGGCGGGGAGCATCGTACGGGGGGGGGGGGGGGGGCTAACAACCGCCATATCATCGCCAGATTTGGCGTCGTCAGAAAGAACGACACCAACCATATTCTCAACAGCGGCATTAGTGCCCGCCGTGGCATTAACAACAATATCGGCAACATTCCCCCGAACCGTCTCCTCAATGGCCGAATCCGAACCGGATGAGACAGAAGAATGGAGGACGAACTCTCGGACATTTTGTCGAACAAAGAATCAAATTCGAAAGAAGAAAATGAGCATGCCCAAAATTATCTGAACGTATTCAAAATTAGGCTTGTTTAGAGAGAAACGAGAGCACGCTAGAGAGAGAAGCAAAGTTTGGAAACCCTGAACTAATGACCCAAGGCCTCTATTTATAGGCCAAAGCGCCGTTTCACCGACCAATGAGAAAAAGACACGTAACAGGGAGCGCTTCCTGGGACACGTGTCAAGCGGAGAAGGAACATTAGGTAATCATGAGTTTTCCTAGGGAAACCAACCAACGGTCGCAAAAAACCGTCAACTCCCTGCATCGGGAATCTATGAGGCTCACCCCGAACGAAGCACACCGAATGGTACAGAAGCCACTTCTCTGCTTCCTTATGCCCCAAGCACGCTCGGAACATCAGAAATGGGGGACTTGTGTTAGGATATTAGGGTCAACCCAATAACCCGACACAAAATATCCCTGAGGCCCAAAAACGTAGCGGAGCCCAACGAATACTAGACATGAACAATGAACGCCCAAACGGCCTCTTCCCAACTGGTTATTTTCTGTTCGGTCCGAACGGACGGGATAACATACTTGGCAATAAAGAGCACCACCCATGTAGGATCAACCCAAAAGAGCTGGCGGGAAGCCTTACAAGTTAAGAGGAAGGGGAATTTAATGCGGGGGGTATGGGGAGTCAAGTGGCAGAGAGGTCATCCAACCAGAATCGACCACATCATCCCCCTCACTTATTCACTTTTAGTATAAATACCAACATTTATTTCATTGTAAAGGGTTAACATTTTGATACCCACTAGTATTATACCTCTCCTTAGCTCTTGTATTAGTACTAAACCGGAACCCCCGTTTGGCCACTCCCTTGTAACCAATATTCACATCTTAATACAGTTGGGCTATTGAGACATTTTGATAGTGGACCATCTTTCCCCTTTTCTTTCTTTCATAAGCCTATTTACGATAACCAAAGGGCTGTGTTGGTCCTCTGGATCCAGGCGAATTAATCTCAACATAACCTTTGTTACATTTTTTGAGAATGTTTTTGGAATATCATTAAGCATCCAGAATTGTCGTATGTGAATGGTGAGGTGGAATATGTTACTTTTGACCCAGATAAGATTTCCTATTCTCACTTGCTAAAGCATATCACCACTGATGCCTATAAGAAAATGGATTCATTGTCATTCAAGATACCTCAAGAAAACATGCACATGCTACAATCACTATGGAACGATGAGTCTACCCTTCGTCTAATTGAATATGCTACGCTTCCTTTCAAATTGAACCTGGTTGCACAATGTATAGAATTAAGCAATCTAAAACCTCCCACGTGCAAGTCTACAACAACAATTTGTTTAAATTTGGAAAGTGACTCCAATGTTATCACATAAGTATTAAATCTATGTCATGATTGTATTAACATTACTTAGTACTTCTATTATCATTACTATCAACATCCCCATTACTATAATAGTATAATTATTAATTAATATTATTGTAATTATTAGTATAATAAAGTTATTGTTGTTGTTGTTATTGTTGTTGTTAATATTATTGTTGTTATTGTTATTTTATCATTATTATATCACTCCTCACTTCTCTCGTTCTAGTCTTTTTTGGACTTACAAAAGGTATATCGACACGTACTTTTTAAATGTAAAAAAATGTTAGGAAATTGAAACACATAACACTTTTATAGATGTTTTCTTACTCCGTATATCATACTCCCTCCGTCCCAAAATTAACTTCCCGTTCGGTTTACGATGCTTGACTGACGATAAAGCAACTCGATCCCTGCTCACACTCGGATTATTTTTAGTAAATAAAATTTACATATTCAGAAACTACATTAAAATCGCTACAAAGACTGATCAATAAAATTTAAATTTGATAAAAATTTGATATAAAAAGTAAAAGATTACGAGTGATTCAAGTTGACTAATGAATAGTGAATGAGAAGTTGTTTTTGGGAGGAGGGAGTATATCATATTTACACACTTGCGAATAGCTATGAATAAATCTGAGTAAAAATCCAAAACGTCTTTTCGGGTCTAGGCGACGCATGATGTTCTCTTGCCTAAAAAAAGCCTTACCCCGCCCGCCTCTTCTTGGTGCTTTACTTTCACCCTTGTCCCGCATGTCTACTTAAAAGACTTGGCTAGGTAAAACATCTCTAGCTTAGCTTAGCGAAGGAAAAGAAGAAAAGAGCATCGAAATCAACCACCCCAGGCCACCTCTGTCTCGCCTCTTCTTGATTACCTGTTTTCCTGAACTTTGAAAGTTTACTTCTTTCCTGATTGTGAGGACTCCTTTTTTCTCTGATCTTCTTCCTCCAGCAAATTATTTAACAAAGAAGAGGAGGCGGCGCAGAGCCAAGCATGGCCGATTCTCCACCTAACACAGTCCACAACAAACTGAAAACCCCAGGTTTTCTTATATGAATGGATTTTCGCGCTTAGTTTATGTCACTCTGATCTGGATAATACCAGAACTTGTGTGTTTCCTCTTTCTCATACCTCATTATCTTTTTGATTGAGATGTCTCTTATGGTTATTGTTTAAGTTAATCTGGAAAGAAGTACTGGTTTTGCAAAACACAATCTCAATAAAAGTATCTATCTTCGCATCCTTAGATGGGTTTTGATGTTTTTATCTATTCCATTTCAATAGGGAAAAAGTTCCTAAAGAGTAGTTCTTTTTTGCGGGTTCCTAAAGAGTAGTATTAACAGGCACAATTTGGTATTTTTGATGCTTTCTTCTGACTGCTAGTTTCACTCTGTAATGGATCACATGTTCATGTTCTTAGAACAAAGGGGTAAAACAGCCTTTAAAAGCTTTTTCCTCTTTTGCAACTTATTACCATTTTCAAAACTAACTGAATACTATATTCCTTGAAATATAAGTTTTCGACTTCATTGTTATGGAGTCCTATATGTATTTGGCTTCACCTACATGGTACCCTAGTTGTTTCTTGGGGTGAAAATTTGTCGGATTGACGACAGGCCAAATACCAGCACAGGATATGTGAGAGTTACTCTCAAAGGTAAGGCTCATTGTGTGCAGCGCTGTATGGGTCTAATCTCTAGGATCAACTGATTGACCGTGCTCTACCTCCTCCGCCGACTCCCGGGAAAGGATGTGGGGCTCCAGTGGAGATTCCACCTTTTGGAGAAATATATACTTGTACTTCTCATTTTGCTCTCTCATTCTCAATACCATAAGGAACTTTAGGGCTTCCTTTATACACTTGGAAATGAAAATATATTTATATATATATAAAAACACAAGTCAAGTATGATAAGAGCTCGCGCGGAGAACTCTCTGGAAATCTCTTTCCAAAAAAAACAATCTCTTGCTTCCCATGGAATAAAAAACAAACCTCTCACTCAGGATATTGGATTGCTTCTTTTTCGAGGAACTTAAATCGACTCTCTTCTGAAAGTGAATTTGTGTTTAGCATGTCAGATATTCAGTCAAATTTCCTTTTGTTGTTTGGGAAAGAGAAAGAGGTACTTTACACGATAAAAAACGCTCCTTAAATATAAGTCAGTATTATAAACTTCTTCAGGTTATATTCGGAAAGCAGAAAATGGCGGGGGAAAGAAAAAATGTGGAGGATGATTTTTTTTTTAATGTTTGGTTTTGCCATGTAAATTATATAAGGAAATCAATTCCTTTTTTTTTTAAATTATACATACATTAATTTTTCTTAAAACTTGTATTGACAGAAATATTATACCTGTAAATAACTTGAGTTTGAATAAATGTCTAGAATTTATTCTCACTATAGGCAATTTATCTCCATGCTGTACATTTATTTCAGTTACAAAATTATTTCCCATGTATTTTAAGGAAAGCAATTTGCGTTTCCCAATATTTCTTTCTTTTCTAAGCAAACTTCGACCACAAAGTTTTGTTGTTTTTCCCTTTCAAATTTTCTCTCTATTCTTCATATCTTTTTCATCTCCTAGCATTTTATGGATTTCAAACGGACCCTGATAAACTTTGTATTGCTTCAAATGAACTTCTATTCTTCAAGCTATCTCTCTGACATGCTTCCATATATGTTGCAATACGGAGTAGTATATATATTATGGCTTTTCTGTTCACGTGATCAACTTATCCTTATTAGATGATAATTCGTAGACTCTGGAACAGCTTTACAGTCTGTTGTAGAGCAAAGTCCTGAAGAACATCAAAGTTCAATGGCGGAATCTTCAAGGGAGAAGCATTCTACTTCGGTTTTTGTAAATTCAGAACCAATACGTGAGGATCAAGTAGAGAATGCAGTGAAGTTTCTTGCACATCCAAAAGTTAAGGGATCTCCAGTTATGTATAGGCGTTCTTTTCTTGAGAGAAAGGGCCTTACAAAGGAGGAAATTGATGAAGCTTTTCGACGGGTTCCTGTATGAACTTAGTTCATATGTGATCTCTGTGTTAATTAAGTTAAATAATCATCAATTTCTTTGTCTTAGTATTTCTTTTTCTTTTCAAATTACAGGATCCTACCTCAACGGTTTCAAGTACAGAAGCCACTCTTGCAAATCAAGGTGAAGGATATGGTATATGTCATTTCTTAAAGTTTCCCCACCTTTTAGGTTATGTTTGAATGGAGGAAAATGGTAAGGTGAAGGGATAAAATACTTTTTTTTATGTTTGGGAATAAGGCTTGGAAGTTGTTATCGTTGTTGTTGTGGTTTTACCCTAAGCAAGACCAAGTAAAATGAAATTTGATTATTTTTTTCCTACCTATATTTAAGTTATTAGTCATTTTGTAATTGAAAGATATAAACTAAAGTGTGTCTGAACCAACATCTAAAATGATATATTGAGTTTGATTCTTGTGCTATGGCCTTTCACACTTTCTTTCCTCCCAATTATCATTCCTTTATTGGGCTCCCTATTTTTCTCTAGTATTTTCTGTGGCCATAACAACCCTGCAGTTTTTCATCTGATAGTTTTTTTCTTTCTCCTCCTTTGTGCAACTCATAATAGAAGGGAAGTTGAAAACTTCATCAAGTATTCAACCACAGGCTCTGATTCGAAGCACGCAGCAAGCTTCAGCAGAGGTTAGTAGCACGACAAAGGTGGGGTACCTTTCTAAATTCCATTGGAGTCATGCTGTGCTTGCTGCTGGGTTACTGGCAGCCTCTGGATCTCTCACTGCAATTTTTTTTAAGGTATTATTAAATATGCAAGAGCCTCTTGGACTTTTTTTTAATCATTCCCTATGCTGTCAAGTCTTCACCTTTCTAATGCTGCTGTCATAAAAAATCACCTATGCTGTGATTTCGTAAAGAGGTTCAACATTTTGAACGTTCCACATGCATCTCTTCGTTTACTAATTCTGTAGTGTCTGTTTGGAACTCATATAGAGGGCACAGATAGCAAGGAATATAGAGGGTAAATTAGAAGGAAAGTGAATTTGAGTAAATATAGAAACAGTTTATTCAAAGACAATAAATCAAATTTAGATCTTTGCTGAAACTAATTCTATTCATACATTTGCATTATTAAATCAAAGCCGACCCCAAAATCTTTTGGATGTTGTTGTTGTTGTATTTGTATGATATAAAGACCATGAAATATAAGCAGGTGTCACCGACACAGATTTTGAATGATTTTAAATGATTGTAAATTCTATGGATTTTAATTTTTAATAGAATTCTACCAATTATATCAGATTGGTGTGGAATTCTATACTATAGAATTATATAATTCTATAATCATTTAATCCTGTGGAATTCTCTACTATAGAATTATATAATTCTATAATCATTTAATCCTGTGGATTTCTATGTAATAATGTAAAAAATATTAAGTTCTAATCATATTTGGTTATCCTTTATAATATTCTGGGTAAAGCCAAACCTTTTAAACAACTACTCCCTCCGTCTCATAATGTGTCACATATTCCTTTTTGGGTCGTATCAAAATGTGTGTCGCATTTTCATTTTTGGATAGAAATCCACCCCAAAAGTAGCTATAATACACTTTAATAAAGTAATAAAGTAAATAGTACTGCTACAATACCAAAAATCTCCTACTTTTTTGAAAAGTGTAGAATAGACCTATAAATTATCTTAAACTGCGTGAAAAGCCTATTGGGACGTATATTATGATATGGAGGGAGCATATCTTAGCATTTTATTATTTTTTCCAAACATAGACACTGTTAAACAAAAAGTGTTTTTTATTTTTCAGAAATCTATAATTCCTCGGTTGAAGTCTTGGATTCGCAAGGTTGTATTGGAAGAAGAAGCAACACAAGAGGATGGTGTGAGGCGGAATAATTTGAAACCAAGTTTGGCAGAAGAAACTGCTAGAGCTGCAAAAGCAGCCGCGGCAGCAGCAGCTGATGTGGCTCGTGCAAGCCAAGAAATGATGGCTTCAAAATCAGAAGGTCCTTTTCCCCTAATAACATGTGTTTTTGTCTTTAGCAGATTGTCCTTAGACTTTGGTTTTGGCAAATTTAGACCATGCTCTTAACATGTTGCCAGAAAACTATGATTGGGTTTGGTTTTACCCTATGGTGACGGCTTAACCGCTCCCCCACCCAGTTAAGGATGGGGTACAACTGTACAAGTGTACAACCAATAATTAGTTTTGTTGAAGATCACAATGGCTCAAACTGCATAACTGGTGTACTAAAAAAGAAATTTACCCTTCTTTTTGTTCAATTTTATTTGCAGTGACATCTTGATAACCTATAAGCTAATTATAAAAATATAAATATATTGAACAACTCTCACTTTCAGAGAAGAAGTACTTTAAGGAACTTACTGAGCTATTGAATTATCAAGTGCGGGAGATGAAATCAATGACCAGTGCAATACAGAAGTTGGAAGGTAAGTTGATTTTCTTCTGGTCATAAACATTTGCTCTTGTAGATGTACATATTAAAGTTTTAATTTTCAAAACATAAGACCTATATACTATGTACAAAAAGAATTGACTCGGTTTTCTAACGACTCTATTTGGTAACCATATCCGACTGTTCTTTTTATCACTGGAATAAGTAGATTTTCACTTAAAGCCTGTTTGGTAAGGCATAAAAAGTAAAATGCTTGAAGTTATTGAGTCTATATAGTTTTCTAAAATTGTGGCTGAATTGGTTGAATCTTCTGAATTATCTAAAAGAATCATGTAAATGCGTTTCTTAAATAAAATAATGAAGATAGTACAAAAATGAAGGTAGAAATGTTAGGGCTTGTTTACTAATAGAAATATATTCCAGTTTTCTATTTATGTCTTCCGTTCTTCAATTTTTTGTTTTCATTTTCCAGTTTTTCCATCTCCAATCTTCTGTTTTCATTTTTTCAGTTTCCATTTTCAAATCTGAAAACATGTTCATCAATTTTTTTCACCCGGTTCTGAAAAGTGTTAGGATTTAAACACACACAATACGAAAAACAATAAGAAAGACACGAGAATTTGGTGACCCAGTTTGCTAAGAATGACTACGTCTGGGGCGCTACCAAGCCAGGATGTTACTATTATTTTTTTATAATGATTACAAGGAGAGAGCGTGTATTTGTAGAGAGTAAAACCTAACCCCAACAACAAAAGGATGCGCGACCCATATACAGAAGGACCCAAAAAATTTCGGCCAGGGCTTGGTTATACAGTCTCTAACACCTCACAAGTAGGGTACCGGGTCCCACATATAGGAAAGTCGGGACCGAAACCGGCTGGTCCCAGTCGATCTCAACGGTTAGTTTGACGAATTCTCTTTTATTTTCCCTATTGATTGACAATTCAACGGCTCTTTTAAAACTCTTCACTTTAAAAAATGATTTCAAAAAATCGAGTTTGAACCACCGCGTCATTGACCAGCCCGGCCACGAACCACCAGGTCATTGATCAAACAAGATGGGGACCACCGGATCTTTGATCGGAATGGACGGGACCGCCAGGTCGTTGACCCGACCGGACAGGTACCGTCAAGTCGTTGACCAAACCGGATAGGACCGGGACTGCCGAACTGGTACTGCCTGGTTGTGGATCGGAGTATCGGACCGGACAGGGACCGTCGGGTCATTGACCGGACCGGACAAGGACCACCAGGTCATGGACCAGACAGGACATGGAGCATCGGGTTGTCGACCGAACCGGACAGGGACCGCTGGATCGTCAAACAAATCGGACCAGGACCGTCAGATTGTTGACCGGACCGGGATTGCTCGGCCGTTGACCATACCGGACAGGGACTGCCGGGTCAATGACCGGCCCGTCGGGTTGTTGACCGGACCAGATAGGGATCGTCGGGTCGTTGATCGGACTGGACTGGAACTGACACCAGAGTGGATACCACTAGGCGTAAGTTGCAAATTCATTGCAATGGCATTGCAGCATTCACGTTTTACAAATTTGGAAAACTAGTAAAAATCACTTCTCTAATTCATTAAGGAATAAGGAAAACAAATACATATCTCATTTTTTTGGTTTTGGAAAACTATTTGGTAAGCGCATTTTTTTCTGTTTTCCTTTCTCCAGTTTTCCATCAATTTTTTTTGGTAAACACGTTTTATGTTTTCCTTTTTCCAGTTTTCCAGTTTTTCGGAAAATATTTGTGTCAGTAAATAGGCCCTTAGCTTCTTTAACCTTAGTGGTATCTGTCAAAAGTTAACTTATACACTATTTTTTCCCACATCAGCCAATTCAGCTAGCATAGTAAAATTGGTTGGTGTATGTTGAAAAATTTGGCTCATAATGGTGATAAGCTGAAAAAGAGTACACCAAGTGGGCTCTTGTTTGACTGAAATAGATATTATAAAACACTCTCCTTTGCAAGGATTCAGAAAATTCAGTTAAATTTCAGCCAAATAATTCTTACTAAACAGTCTCTATACGTCTTGTCAGGACCAAATAATGCATCCGGAAGACCAGCATTCTCAGAGCAAGATCCTCGAAAAAATTTGCAATCTAATTCACAGGTGAGCCACTTAGCATAATCATGCACCCCCCCAAAAAAGAAGAAAAAGAAAAAAGAAATATGTTGATGGCTCTTCTCTCTATCAATACTATTTAGTGATCTTTTCCAGCAATTCTGTGCAAATGGCAAAGTGGACACTGGTGCACACTCAGGTTCTAATTACAGTAACATGCTTAATGTGTATGGATTTCTTTCAGATTTATATTTCGATTTCATATTGTTAACTTAAATTTCCCTCGCAGTAAGACCTTTATCACCGCCTGCATCTGTGGAACCTTCTGGCCCTCCACATCCAAAATCCTACATGGAGGTATGTCAACAATTGCACTATTGAAAATGCAAATACACCTTACCCAGGGCTGAACAAAAAACCCATCATACCAAATCTAGCTGAAACCAAGCCTGTCCAAACGCGTCTAACCATACACTGTTCAGTTCGCAGATCAAGGTTTAGGATCTGATAAGTGATAACAGAACTGGCCAGAGTGACAAAACCAAACTGAACCAAAACCTACTTAGGTTTGTTGGTCTGGTTGTTGATCTTGCATTTCTCAAAACTGAACCTACGATACTGAAACTGACTTACGGACACTCATAGCATGTCATTGTTCATTCATATCTCCTTGTAACTGTGACTATTAGCTAGAGAATTTGGAATGTTTTAGTTGACTTCAGCTGCATAATAAGTCCATATCTAGATTCCTTCAGTAGAGGTTAAGGCAAAAGAAAATATCCAGCCCTGGAAAGAGGTAGCTGATGCTTCAGTTCTTTTTCTTTCTAGGAAGGTAATATTACATTATGTGTTATACAAGTTTGCTGGCTATGGTTGCTTGATTCACTATAAAGTTATGGTGGCCAAGTGGGTTCTCCAAAATACCAGATAACCATATGAAACCAAAGCTCAAACAAAGAAACTATAATATGACGAGGATACCCCTTATTATTAATTCCACTTAGTTATTTACGTAGTACTAGCTTTGTTCTTAATTAACAGCTACTTGACAAACAAAGTTGTGCTCAAATGAGTGTCATTTCCGAATATCAAGAGAGCATTAATTGTTTATTTTCCATACTTGTCCTTCTCCATCTATAATATAATACCTTTATAAATGACCAGGTAATAGTGTGTTTATGCTTAATGAATTGATGGCGGGTATTCGAGTCATATTATATCATCTTTATCGTGTTTTTAAGAAAAAAATATAAGTACGTTAATATGTACATAAAAATCTTAAAATAGGAAATCAGAAAATGACATTTATTTGAAAATAGAGGGAGTAGAATGCATCGGTAGCACAATGGTCACACTTGAAGTGTTTGAAACATTACTTTGGATATTTTTTTCTATGGTGTGACTTGACTAGAGGTTATATCATATGTATGTGGATAATAAGTTCTAACTAATGCTGTGGAACAGATAATGGAAATGGTTAAGAGAGGGGAGAGACCTTCAAACATTAGAGTAAGTTGAGACACCTTCGCCTTCATTATTTGAGATTGTCGTTTTCTTGAATAATGACTATTTTATGATTCATTTGTTGTTTCAGGACATAAATGACCAACCACCAAATCCTTATCAACCCGTGCCAGAACCTGCACTGGCACTGAAGCCTAAGGTTTACAGTTTTCGTAATCCTTCCCTTTTATTGGCTTCATCTGATTGCAGGAAACTAATCTCTGTAAAAAGTTTTCCATGAAAATAAGTTGTTCTTGTAGGTATATGTTTGCAACTTGGAAAATGGTTGGTAGGAAAAAAACTGCTACGGAAAATTTATTTTTTAATGGTTGGTGTCTACCCTGGATTCCTGGAAAATCAAATTTGACCAAAGCTTATAAAATATAAAATTTTACACATCTAGACTTTTTAGTGTATATAGATGAAAATATGATTAGTGTATTACAGACCAAAGCTTATGTTCTTAGACAAAAATATGATTAGTCACTGGGTATGAGTAATTGGACAAGAGTCACTATAGTGTATTTGAGAGTTACAAGTCTCCGGTAGGAACTAGTCACGGAATATGTTGGAAAATTTTAAAATAAGTAATATTGTTATCTTTTGAATTTAATTTAGTAATATCTATGAAAAAAGGTCAAAATAAAAGAGTTCGAACATAGAACAAATATCTAAAATTGATTTATTGAGTTTGAACCTTATTTTTTTATATCGCTCTTTCCTCTACATTTTCTTTCCTTTCAGTATTACCTTCCATTTTCCTCCATCCTTCTTTAGCATTTTTTGACAATTTGACGTCCAAACGACCCTAAAATTTGAGGAAAATGACTTCATCTATTCAAACACGTTATTTTCCACAAACAATAATAGCATGTCCTTGAAGGAAGCATTCTTCCGGTGCCAAACACAAGTCTGGAATGAAACAAAAGTTCAATAGAATCAATGCTAATATTTTCGTGAAGGTTTCATCCAAAAAAAAATCGTGAAGGAAAATGTTTTATCGAGTGCCAAACAGAGGAAAGTCTTAAAAACGTTATCTTAAAAAGTAATCTCTTGGAGACAAAATTTCATAGAACCAATAAAAATCACTTCAAGAAGGAAAGTGTGTTTCCAGTGCCAAACACCTAAGTCTGAAATACTTTATTGGGGTAACAAAGCCACAATATTTGATTCTATGCTCTGCTCTGCTCTGCTAGTTCAGAATGGCAATACTAGCGAGTTTTGTTTTTCTTCCAACAGCCTTGGGAAGCTGGTCAAAGTCAAACTCAGACCAGTTTGATTCAGAGGGGGGATGCCAATTTCTTGACATCTGGTTTCCAAGACAATCATCAATTTAATAATGGAGGCAGTTCAACAACTCCTTGGTGGCAACACAAAAACACTAAGATCACCGAAATTGAACCCGAATATGAACAGAAGTATGGTTCTTCAGGTTTGTTGACTAACAATGAACGACCCGCCCCTCGCTCGTGGGTCCCTCCCCAACCACCCCCCGTTGCCATGGCGGAAGCAGCAGCTGCCATCCGGCAGCCTAAAAAATCTTCACCTCATAAAGATGTAATCAGCGATGTTGATCAGTTACAGGGGGGTGTCACTGAAGTTTCTGATGAGTTGCAGATGGCTACGCAGATAGCTGAGTCAGGCGGCGGCAGCGTTGGGGAAGGCAATGGAGGTTTCACTTCAGGTGACAGTGTGAATCAGGCAACATTAGTGAATGATGATATAGTGTTGACAGCCTTGGAATGAATTTCTAGAATCATTTAGTCACTTGTTTTGCTTTCTTGTGTTTCTTGTGGACCTAGCGCATTCATTTAATTATGAATGTCTTGTAAGAGTATATTCTTCCTTTAACGTCTGCATGATATGTTATACATATAATGCAAAAGTTCAGTACTTTTGAAGTTTATTTTTTGCACCCCTGTAACTCCGGTACACTTGAGATGTTTTCCGTTATCATTAGGAAGACAAATTTCAGTTGATCAGGCCTGTGTTACTTTGATTTATTTTAATTTATTGAGAAAAATGGTTTTATGAACGTTTATTATGTGTTTGGAAGTGGAAATTAGTTTTTGAAATTCTACAGTGGCGGTGGGTTTTTGGTGTGACATGGCCTGATGGCCAGTAGGCATGGAGCCGGCCCGGGCCTAGGCCCGGTCGGGCCTTTTGTGTTTGGTGGAACTGTGGAAGGCCCGGGTCCGGCCCGGGTTGCCGCCGGGCCTCGGGCCGGGCCTCGGGCCACTTTGTATTTTTTTTTCTTTTTTCTAATTAACCCCCACCCCCAAACCACCCCAAATGGTCCAAAATACCCAGCCCAACCCGGGTTTTAAAAAAAATTGAAAAAAAAAATACTAAAAAATAATAAAGCCCGAACCGGGCCCGGCCGGTTCCATTTTCAGCTGACCCGAGCCCGCCCTTCCCTAACTAGAGGGCTAGGCCCTACCCGAACCGGACCGTAGCGGGTCACCGGGCCGGGCTGGGCCCAAACAGTACCGGTCCCGGGCCGGGCGGCCCGACCCGAGTCCAAGACTAAACGAGGGTAGTTCTTATTACACGTACCGATAGTGTTGCATGGGTGCAATTTTAATCACCCCTCCGAGGGTGAACATTAGAGCATCTTTAATGCTACATTGTTAACATTTAATAATTTTTGACACATGGATATCAATAAATGTAATGTCTAACCACCTCATATAAATAGATGGTGGAATCCAAAAAAAACTCATCCAATGTATTATGCTAATAGACTATATGGATGGTTACGTGTAAAGCCTTTATTAGCTTTTAAAATAAATAAATCAAAATCCTTTGTGTGGAACATATAGATCGTGGGGGCATGGGTAGAGATTTTTATGGCCAATAGAAGTGGTCATTTACGGATGTCTCTCAACCAAAATGCTGAACAACACTGTTATACGAAGACTATGATGTGAACAATGTCAAAACTTTTTTTTGACATGTCAGCATAACATGTAGCTTTACATCCTGCCTTGGAGACCATCCTTGTATTCCAATGTTCAACAAGGCTGACGTAACTGTAAGGAATAAATGTAATTAGATTTTGATGATGCTAGGTTATTTAGATTAGAATTTTAAAGTACCCCCAAATTAGACTTCATGTATTAGTACTTTCTGATGTAAGTATTAGTATAATCGACTATCAGAGTTGCTATGTGGATCTGATCAGAGCCGCTATATGAGAACTGGTTTCAGAGTCGCTCTCGGAAATCATGAGAGTTGCACATCAGAGAACCATCAGTATTGCTCTTCGGAGACTCGTCAGAAGTCTACATCAAAAAGACATCAGAGTTCGATGAAAAAGCTTCATCAGAATCCAACTCCAGAGAAGTATCAGAGTTCCTCATATAAGTCCATCAGAATCCAAGATCAAAATGTCATCAGAGAAGCTCATCAGACTCCGCTTTACACTTGGAAGATTTCGAAGCTGTCCTCAACGGCCGGGAAATCCTTTAACGGCTAGGAGATATTTCATCCAAGGAAAGCATTCAATGCTCATTTAATAAGACTGATACGCTGTGGAGTAATTGCAGATGATTGACCGAGAATCCTGGAGAATATTATACAAAAATGGAAACCTGCCAAAACTGCGGGTCCAACTGGTCAAATCCACAGTACGCGCATTTAATGCAGTTGTCTCCTCCTCCAACGGACAGACAACCCAAGTATATAAGCTACTCACCGAAGAATAGGAAAACAACTTTTGCCACAACTTTTTGCTCTGAACTTCATACAACAAGCATTCTTGAGACTCAAAATCTACAACACAAAAACAAGAAAAAGCTTACGTCGGGAAGATACAACCTCACAATCTTTCACCCCCAACAAGAGCAAAGTTCATCCTGTTCTTCAACTCTTCAAGAACTTCATCAAACATCATTTGTGACGAAGCAAGTTGGAGGAAAAACCTTGTTTTTCAAAGGATCTTCTGAAAAGAAGGGCGTCCAAGTAACTGCAGTAGTGAAGTGGTGATACTTCCGGGAAGCTGAGTGAAAGGACCAGCCATCAGGACGTGGAATTGCATCCTGGGTGGCAGCTAGGCTTGAAGAAGGCGTGGAGAACTTCTTAAGTGCTAGGAACTAAGCTTTGTAACCGATCTACTTCAAAGCTAGTGGAACAGTGGACTAGAGGAACGCGTTGTTCCTTGAACCACTATAAAAATATCCGGTGTCATTTACTTTACTGCAATTTATATTTCTGCACTTAGGACATTAACTGATTAACTCTAAGACTTGGAATCTGTGTTCAGCAGATCTTGTTTTCAGAGTTATCAGAAAGGCATTTGCCTTAGTGTTTCTGAGGCTACCCGGACAGATCAGAATCCACTGCCAAGGCCAGTTCTGATATCAGAACCAGCCTTCCTCTGTTACCAGAGTAAGACCTTCTCTGATAAGTCAGTTTGGACTTAGAGAAAAATTGAAAAACCCATCAGTCTATTCACCCCCCCTCTAGACTGATTACTATTTAATCGGGACCAACAAGTGGTATCAGAGCCTCCTTGTTCTTGTAATCTTTTAGGTTACTTCTTGAACAAAGATCCACTTGTTTCTAGCCTCTTTATTTATTATAATGGATAATTCTCTTGCAAAGCATCTTATGTTCACAGATCAGAAGTATGATGATTGGAAGATCAGAATGAAGGCACATCTATGTGCCCTTCATGATGAAATGTGGGAAGTCTTGGAGAATGGCCCCTTTATCCAGTTCATGAAGATCAATCCTGCTCACTCTATTGATAACTCTCAGCCCCAGATGATTGAGAAAGCCCGGTCAGAATGGACCAAGGAAGAGAAAAGGCAGTATAATCTAGATAATATAGCCAAGGACATCCTCTACAAGGCTATTGATGAAAGATACTTCAACAGAATCAAGAAGTGCAAAACTGCCAAAGAGATCTGGGATAAGCTGGATGAGATTGGAGCAGGAGATGAGCAAGAAAGAGACAACAAGCTGACCATTGCAATGAAGAAGTTTGATGACTTCAAACTTCTGCCAGAAGAATGCATTGCTAAGATGCATGAGAGACTGCTGATTCTCATCAGTGAGATTTCTGAGCTTGGGAAGGAGCTCACCATCAAAGAAGTCAACATGAAGATCCTCAGGGGACTGCCTTCAGCTTGGAAGATGAAGGTGATTGCAGTCCAGGAAAGCAAGAACATCAAGACCTATGCCACTGAGAAACTCATTTCTGATCTCAAGGCTTATGAGTTTGAGATGCATGAAGAGAAGGAGGAAGTTCCTGATGAGAGGACCACCACTGCTCTCACTGCCAGCACCTCAAAGGTAAGTAACTTTGACCCTTCTACTTTTTTATCTGATGAGTATATGGCTGCTTTTGCCAGAAAATTCAGAAAGTTTATGAAGAAAGATGGAAGGAGTCCATCTTCCATCAGAAGACCTCATCAGAAGACCAAATCTTCTGAAAGCAATGGAGAGTATCTCTGCTACAACTGCAGACAGCCTGGTCACTTCAAGGCTAACTGCCCATTCCCTAGAGTGTCCAAGAAGCAAGGACAAGAAGGAGAGACAAAAGCTGAAGATCAACACAGAAGAAGAAGAGCATTCGTCTCAGAGCAAGCTGAGAAAGATCCACTGTCTGAATCAGAGTCCAGTTCAGACTCTGACTCTGATGAAGCATTCTGCTGCTTGGATGCAGAAACTGAAGACCTTTGCCTCATGGCACAATCTGATGATGAGGTATGCTCTACAGCTAATTCTATTTCCTCTTCGGTAGGCACAGCCTTAAATGATGATCCAATGTCATCATTTTGGGAAGAGTTCAAAACTATCCAAGGATCTTATTCCTTTATTAAAGAAGAGAACAGTAAGCTGAAAGCTGAAAATGAGTCTCTTCTAAAGAGAATAAGAGAGATTGAACATCTTGAAGTCAGATACAATAGCCTTCTGAAGATGCAATCTTCTATGAAGGGTATTAATGACTTTCACACCTCTACCCCTGGTCTTGGATATGTTGAACCCAAGTCTGGTGAATCTTCTGTAAGGCCTAGCACCCAAGTTGCTAAAGCCAAAAAGGTCATAGTTTCACAGACTTGCAGCCCCATCTGCCATGCTAGTACTTCTGGTACTAAAGTTGTACATGAGGAGGTCATACCAGAGAAGCAAAATCTAAAGGCCAAACCAAAACAAATCTTGAAAACTAATGAACCTGGCAGAAATTCTAACAAAAGGAAGAGTTTTCAGAAAAATAATAATCAAAGGCCTAATCCTATCAGACAATCTCATGACAATGGTATCAGAAACTGCTATCAGAGAGGCAAATATCAAGAGAAGATTAACTATAGGCAGAAGAGGTTGTCTGGTCAACCTCAGAAGCCTAAAGTTAGGCGCTCCTCTGATCTTGATAGTATATGGGACTTCTTTCCAACGAAGAAGGCTATGCAAAAGTATGCAAACAGAAAGCATGATCCTCACAAGCATCTGCCCAAAGTGAATCATACGTCTGTTTACTACAACTACCAGGTGGACAATGGGTACCATCCACCAAGGTTTCAGTTGATGAGACCAAAATGGTACCAACTTCCAAGACTGCATTACCCCCCAGGACCCAACATTGCTTGGGTACCTAAATCTTCCTTTTAATTTTGCAGGAACTGTGTGCTGGAGCCATCTCAGAACAAGAATGGTATATTGACAGCGGATGCTCCAGACACATGACAGGTGACAAGAGTTGCCTATCAGAGTTTCAGAAAATCAATGGACCCCGAGTCACTTTTGGAGGAAATGACAAGGATGGTCAAACAAAAGGAAGAGGAAAGCTGATCAAGAACCAGATAGTCATTGAAGATGTCTCATATGTCAAGGGTCTGAAGTTCAACCTCCTGAGTGCTAGCCAATTCTGTGGCAAAGGCTACACAGTTGAATTCACCAAGACCTTATGCTATGTCAAGCATGAGACAACCAAGGAAGTGGTTCTTACAGCCAAGAGAAGAAAGAACATCTATGTTGTTGACTGGCAAACAGCAAAAGATGGAACCTGCTTGATAGCCAAAGACAATTCAAAGCTAAGCTGGG